GTGCTAGTATTCATGGTGTTGCTAACTAGCTTGGTGGCCTTGGGCAAATCTCTGATTTTCTCATTTTTCTCATCTACTAAATGGAAATAAGAGTGACAGTCATGCCCATCTCACAGAGTTATTTATACAAATATATGATAATGGATTTTAAGACACTATAAAATAATAAACACAGTACATTATTTCCTGTTGCTGCTATATCATACTACCACAAACTCAGTGGATTCAAACACCAAAAATTTATTCAGTTACAGTTGTATAGGTCAGAAGTCTGAAGTGGGTCTCACTGGGCCAAAATGTAAGTGCCGGCAGGCCTGTGTTCCTCGTGAAGGCTCTACAGAAGAATCCATTCCCTTGCCTTTTCCAGCCTGCATTTCTTGGCATATTGGCCCCTTCCTCCATCTTTAAAGCCAGCAGCAGAGCATCTTCATGCCTCCCTCATTTTGCCGCTAAAACTCCTGCTTCTCTCTTTACTTATAAGGACTCTGTGTGAGTACTGGGCCCACGTGGGTAATCCAGGAAAATCTCATCCCCAGGTCAGCTAATTAGCAACCTTAATTCCCCACCCCACCCCTCAGTCAGGTAACAACATATTCATGAATTCCAGGAATTAGGATGTGGGCTTCATTAGGGGCACCCCCATTCCCTTTATACTTCATACAAAAGATTCTAATTTAATGTCTACTTGGTAGTCATTATAAATTTCGCAATATCGCCAAGGATTATTTTATATTTTAAACAATAAGATACCTGGAGAGAATGTTTTCTAAGCAACTCACTAATTTGCCTGTAAGATTTAGCAATGTATGTTAAACACTTAAAAGTTCAATGATAACTAAACTACAGATTTTTTTCTTTTAACAATATAATCATTCCCATTTTTTCAAAACAAGTGAAAATTTAAGACAAAGATACTTTTTCAAAATCTAAATAGAATCAGAAGCATTCTGGTATTAAACTCCTATGACAGTATTCTGGCCTGTAAAGAAATAGGGGACAGGCCCCGTCTGGTGTGGCTCAGTTGGTTGAAGCACCATACTGTAAACCAAAAAGCCACGGGTTTGATTCCCAGTCAGCGAGGGCACACGCCTGGCCTGCGAGTTTGGTCCCTGGTTGGGGTGTGTGCGAGAGGCAACTGATCAATGTATCTCTCACTTTCTTTCTCCCCTACTTCTTCTTTAAACCTAATGAAAAAATGTCCTCAGGTAAGCATTAAAAAGAAAAAAAAAAAAGGTAGCAGTACAATACTAGGGAGAGCTCATGCTTTTTCTAGTCACAGAAATCAACATGTTTTTGGGGTGTGGAATTATAGAAAAGGTCAGGCAGTCAGTCAAATAGATACCTCAAAAATAAACATTTCTGGCCCAAAGCAAGTACACGGGCAGGTACAGAAGACATTACACTAGAGCCTGCCAGTAGAGGACAGCTCAAACAAGTTACGTCCAGGCTGCTCCCCAGGAACCCTATAGCAGGCCTAGCGTAGACCTTTGTAAGCTATCTGGTTTCAAGATATCTTCTGTATCTGTCAAATATGTCATTGTACATTATACCTTCTAGTCCCACCTAATGGTTATCCTAAAAATGTAATACAGTTGTCCTCCCTTTTCCACAGGAAATTGGTCCCAAGTCCCCCAGTGAATGCGGGAAACCATGAATAGTACTGATCTCTATATATACTATGTTTCTTCCTATATATACATAATAAAGTTCAATTTATAAATTAAGCACAGTAAAAGGTTAGCAACAATAATAAAATAGAACAATTATAACAATACGCTGTAATAAAAGTTATGTAAATGTGGTTCCCCTCTCTCTCTTCCTGCACCGTACTTACCCTTCTTCCTGTGATGATGTGAGATGATACAATGCCTACGTGATGAGATGACATTAGGACAATGACGTAGGCATACTGACCTTGTGTTAGGCTACGATAAGGATTACTTGAACACAAACACTGCAATACCAGGGCAGTGGATCTGATAACCCAGATGGCTACTAAGTGACTAATAGGCAGGTAGGCAGTACAATGTGAATATGCTGGACAAAAGAATGATTCAAATCCTGGAAGGGGCGAGTTTTCATCACACTACTCAGAACAGTGTCACATTTAAAATTTATGAACTGTTTATTTCTAAAATTTTCCATTTAATATTGTTAGACAATGGCTGATGACAACTGAAATCATAGAAAGCAAAAGTATGGATAAAGGATAACATCTGTACAGACATACATCTAAAATAACAATTCCTAAAAAAATTTGTTATTAAATAAATGTAAAGTTCCCAAAATAACACAAAATTAATAGGATTTATACAAACCTGAAAATTCAAAAATCACATATTTTTCCCTAAACTTACTAATAATTTCAACAGAGTTAATATCAGGGAATTATTTAAAACAATAATTCCAGGGTATCTTGTTTCAATCTTCCTATTTCTTGAATATATATAGCCCTAACATAACTGATATTCACAATGACCTCAAAATTTTGAAAAACACCAAGTTCTTATTGTTCATTAAAGAAAAACTAAGCAGGGTCAGAAGAATTTTACAACTAAATGTATTGAGAATGTGGCTGGAGATTTATATTTTGTTTAAACCTGGCTATTTGGGAATGACAAATATATGATACCTGTCAGAATATTAACGTATTCACTCACACCTTTTCCTGTCACATTGCACAAACGTAAGGTCACTAACGAAATCAACACCAGGGCTCAAATTTTTAAGCAGTATAATTTAATTAAACACTTCCAATCTATGGAAACAGGTTTTTCCAAAGAAGTATACTCTCTCTAAACTATGCTATTTTGTTTTAATCAATCAAGAATAGAATCAATAAAAATGCAATAATAGGAGCTATCCTATATTTCATGTCAGAATATATTCTTTCTTGAAACTTTGCTTATTACACAAGGAAAGCTAGAAAACAGAAATCATTTATAAAGAGCAACCATTATTCAATTTTTCTAATAAAGAAGCTTTATGAACATATATGGGGGATGATGGTGATGGTGACAGCAATGACAAAAGTTTGAATGACTTAGTTTCAGATGCTTTTGCTGGAAAGGAGCAAAAATCCAGAGAGAATGTAATTAAAACCTATTTATGAGTCATCATCATAAGCGTAGGTCCAATGCACTAGTTTGTAGTTCTCTTTCTACATGCAAAAATCACCTCTCCAAGAAAACAGCAAAGCCATTAATGTACTTACTCTTCCACTGCTGACCAACTACTCAACAATAGCTTGTGCAATCGCAGATGTTACTGACCTATACTTCAGACCCCTCTATACCATCAGAAATTTCTTCTATACACTCCCTTACTTCCATAGAATTCCCACGGCTACCCTTGTGTAGTCCAGTCCTTAAGTAAAAGACTAGATGGAAAACATATTTGCATCATCTGATAAATGGTAAGGAAAATAAATGTGACCCTCTGAAAGGTTCCAAGTCACACAAAACCTGTTGAAAATAGCTATAAAAGAATAAAGTAAAAATAAGCAAAAAGAAATTAAGGAATATTAAGTATCTGAAATATTTATTAATTTCTAAGAAACATTATACATATCAGATATTACTATAGAAATATAATTGACCATATCAGCTAGAAAAAAAAAATCAGTTTCCCAGACAGAAAATTCACTCTTTCACAACTGCCAAAAGGTTAATCATAAAGTTTTCTAAAATACTGATCAAATGATACCTTAAGAGAGAAGGAAAGAACAGATGTTTGTGCAACAAATTAGGTTATTAGTTCAAAATTTTGTCAGGGAATTGAAAATTCAAGTAAAGCCCACACTGTACAAAAACTCTGAGCAATAGATAATGGCCTGAGGGCAAACACTTGACAATGATACATCAAAAGGAACAAAGTCCAACAACACTTCTCCTATAGTGAAACGCAGTTAATAAGTTAGACCTTTTAGTTTCCTCTGTGATATTTTTAGTAGTCAATTAAAAAGAAATAAAATGCCCCTGGCCAGTGTGGCTCAGTTAGTTGGAGCACTGTCCCATAATCAAAGCGTTTTGGGTTTGAATCCCTGTCAGGGCACCTAGCTAGGTTGCAGGTTTGATCCCTGGTCAGGGCATATATGGGAGGCAGCCAATTGATGCTTCTTTCTCACATAGATGTTGCTTTCTCCCTCTCTCCACCCCCCCTCCATCCTTCCCTCCCTCCCTCTGTAAATGGAATGAAAACGAGCTCTCCTCAGGTGAGGATTAAAAAATTATTTAAAAAGGATTAAAATGCAAAGGCATTTGGAGTTTCCTAAAAGGTCAGCTAATGAGGAAAACAGAAAGTAATACAAAAAGACTCGATTATATCTCAAGAGCTAAACAATAAAACAACCTCAGGCTACCTCAATGTCACTTGTGAAAAAAAGAATCCCTGAGTCAACCTTTCTAAGCAATGTTAAACAAATAAGTAAAAAACTATAACAAAGCCATATATTACGTGTTCCTTAGCTATTTATTCAATTAACCCATGACTGCAGAGGATCCATATGGTATCATGCCACTTACACGAGACATTCTAAAAGAAGAGAAAAATATTCTTTGACTTCCAGGCATCTGCCAGTCAATATCAGAAAAAGAAAAAAAACAAAAAACAGAAATTCCATTATGAGGAATTTAACACTCACAGAAGTCATAGGCTAGGAAACTATCAATGTTACTGGTTTTTTGGAAAATACTGAGACTTTTTGAGCAATAGGAAATAAATATAGGGGGGATAAAACATAAAAGAATAATTCAGGGATGCAGATAAAGAACGGAGAAGGTAAAAGGCACAAACATGAAGCCTAGGCATCCATGTAGAGAATAATACTGTAGCAATCAGAGGCCAGAGGTGGGGATATGACAATAGGTAATAGCTGCAAAAGTTCCAACTAAATACTCTGAGCCACAAGGCTACAGGACAGCAACAGGCATAATCCAATAGGAATGTTCACCAAAATTAGAGACATATTATTTCATAAATAGAAGAGATTTATTACTTACCCGATTTATACGGCTATTCCTTAAAATAATCTGCAGTAGGGTTTCCTCCAATTCTTTCAACTTCTTGGAACACTTTTTAAGAATATGATTAGATAAGTCACAATCACTGATCAGTCTAGCTAAAGTATCAACAGCTTCTGTCCAAAAGCTTGAAAAAGGAAATTTGGGTTCACGATAAAAAGTGATCAGGCCATCTAGCAACTGAAAAACAGAATCAGATACCGTCGAAGAGTTGTTTTCAAAGTGGCTTAAGTTTGTTTTGAGACTCCCTGATTCTGTCCAGCTCTTCAGCTCAAGCAGACGATGCAAGAATTGCATGTGAGAAGACAAAGGATTTTCCAAAGTCGCACAATGTTTTTTCCCAATGGGCAATGATGGAAAGGGTGTGGGGGTGCAGCTCTCCACAAAATCCTGTGACATCTCTGTGGGTTCAGTCCTCTGCTCATTTGATAAATCACACCCAGAATCTTCCAGCACAGTTAATGTATTTTCAGAAGTTCCTGGTTCCTGAGCCTGTAACTGGGAAGATGAGTCTCCTGAAATAGAAAAAAATACAAGTATGATATTTCTGTAGCTAAAATATTTTCATATAAAAACTAGACATTGCCTTTTCTAACTCAGAGTGCTAAATGAAGCATGTAGATATGTATTAAACATTTTAAAACAGTAGTATAAAAAATGAATAGATGAAAAACTGAAAGTAACTGCTTAAGCTTACTGTAGAAAAGGTTTTTATCTAGACTGGTAGAAAGCAAAGGTGATCCACCTGTATTGCTATATCTCATTCAATTATGTGCCATGCTTGAAAGGTACAGAGGGGAAACCACAAAACCTGAAGGAGGCTGCTATCTGGTACATCTAGTAAAGATTCCAGCAAAGGAATAAGGTGTATCTAGAAAGACATTTGCCCAGGGCACTATGAAAAAGGGAGGACCCTGGTTAGCTTAATGCATTCTGGAAGAGGCGATGGTGGAACTAACTTATAAAACATAAGTAGAAATTCAAAGTTAAAAGTTAGGGGAATGGAGGAAGACGGAGAATTTCATATGCCAAGGGGACAGGCACAAAAGCACAGGCTTAACAAGAAAAAGAAAGCAGTGTGTATACAAGGATCCACAGTAATTTTACATTCATTTTACAAAAAAATATAAGGCAAGAAATTAAGATGGAGAAATACGTAAAGGAAAGGTCATAAAGGATCTTAAAAGAGGTATTAAGGACCCTAGTTTACAAGTAGAGTGCAGAGTGAGTGTAATTTAAATTTGAATAATGCAAGATCACTTTGGAAAAATTATATACACCCACACATGTACATATAAACAAAAATAAACAATTTATATGAGTATGTGAACTTATAATTATCACTCTATCTATAGATTCTTGATACTCTTTCTTTTACCACTAGAATCTTCTCATTGCCAGAGAAATACTGCAATTAAGGCTTGACCTAGTAAATTTAGGTTATTCTTTGACAGAGATTCCAGCAGTAACAAATAAGGTTGGTTGTGAAAATATACACACAAATTGAAAAATTCTCATTGAACATTCACACATGCAAATATCTATAAAACTAAATTGGAGAAATATTCCTGTCAGCAATAGAAGTTGGAAAGAGGCACTGAACAGTGTAATGCAGGAAAGTGAAATGGTCTTATTTTCATTTCATAGATCACTCTGTTGGCTATATGAAAAGCAGATTGGAGGAGAACATAGTAAGACACTAAAAAATCAGCTAGAAGTCACCTCTGTTAGTCCCAGTAAGAGCTAATGAGAGAAATGAACCAAGCAGTAGCAGTGGAAGGGAAGGAAGGGGTTGACCAGGGAAATAAATCCAACACATCAAAATACAATCTGGAAGCCAGATGACTTGACTAGATATGGGCAATGAAGTAAAAGGCATATATGTATCCTGTGGTTCTAACTTAAGTGACTGGGTCTTACCAACTGAAATGGTAAAAATACAGACAAAATAACTGGCTTAGAAGAATCTATGAGAAATTCAGGTTTGGTCATGTAAACTGAAGCAACTGGTAGAAATCTAGGCAAAGATGTTCACCTGGAAATTGGCCACATGAAACTAAGAGTGGAGACTGGTTCTAGACTAAAAATACATTTTAGGAGTTATCAGTGTGTAGGTAGTATCTGAAGTAATAAAAATGGTTATTAACATTTGGGAGGAGGACAAGCTGTGACTAGAACAAGGGGTCAAAGAGGGACGCTAAGGAGTATCCTAATTTGAGGGTTGAATAGAGAAAAAGATCATCATCAAGAAGACAGAACAATTAAAGAAGTACAAGAAGAATAAAAATGATAGTGTCATGGAAGCCAAGGGAGCAGTGTTGAGGAGAATTACATGCAACAGAGAAGTCCAAGAAAATAAAGAGCTGGAAAAAACATGTTGGAATTAGTGATTAGAAAATCACCAGTGATTGTATCCATAGCAGCTTTGGTTGGTCAGGGTGGTGGACAGAGGTCAGACTGCAATGGACTAAAGAGTTAATGGGCAGAAAGCAAGGGAAGAACAGTAACACTTCTGAGGACTTGGATCAGCAGAGTACAAACTGAAGAGTAACTGAAGGCAAATGCAGTGTGACAAATTAGGAGAACCATGAGCAATTATAGGCTCAGAAGAGAAAAAACAATAGAGAAGCAAGTGTTGCAAATATGAGAAAAAATAAAAATGCCAGGTGGGCATGGCCCTAGAGAAGGCAGGAGAATGAGTCAAGGGTCCCAGTGGATGCATTGTGCTTACTGATGTGGAAGTACTTTTTTTCCCCTCAAAAGCTGAGAGAAAGATGATGAGAATGCGTAGGGACAGGAAACAAAAATGGCACTGTCATATAGGAAGTTAAAGGATATCTCACCTAAAAAGTTCTATATATATTTTTAAAGCTAGAGACAGGGGAACACTAACTGAGCAGGACGTAAGAATAATGATGAAAATAACATTTTCTACCCTCACTGCTATATATTTGTAAATCTATCTAATTTGCTGCTCTTTTGTCTTGTCGTAAAATTAAAAACTGATAAGGCAAAATCAGAGAATTGAGCTTTAATTTAGAGTTCATTCAATTAAGAACTGCCTACTATAATCACTGCAGATGTGCAAATGTGTGCTTGCTAATTATCACTACACTATCTGTACTTCATGTTTGGCAGTAATGCACTTAAGTTAAAAAATGTGGTGGTACCCAGAGCAGTGAACTATCAGCAAAGTCCCTAACTGTGTGCAGCTATTTCTGTACCAAAACAGGCAGACAGCCGTCCCATTTTAAACCAGCTGGCAGTTTCTTTTTCTTATAAGCAAGGATAAACATTTGAAATGACTTCTCACCACATCCATTTTACGCTTCACAAAAGTGGGAGGGGATTACTATGGTAATTATTCAGGTAGATTACATTTTCTAAAAATGTTATTTTTCTTTATCTTTTTCCATCACCATTTATGTCCCCTGTACCCTCTTCCACCTCCACGCACCCCTTCCCCTCTCCCCTGCAACCGCTACATTGTTGTCCATGTTCTTGAGTTGGGTTTTTTTGCTTAATTCAAAATGGTGCTCCACTAAGAACATGAACACAAATTTAAATGTTTCATTAACCTACTCAATTTTTCATCAATGTAAGCTGAATTTCATGGTTGATGATTTTAAGAAAGACTCATAAAAATAAATTCTACCAACTATTAAACTGGAAAGCAAAAAGCTGCCTTCTAGTTTCTGCTTTTCACTCCTCACTGGTGTGCCTTTGGGCAAGTCACAGCCACGCCATCTCATCTCCTCTGTGTGCTGATGGGGACAGATTTGAAGGGAGAAGTTTCATCCATCCATATGCTCCAGGGAGAGGAATACTCAAAACCAACCACCATGGTCCCTGGCTCCCCTGTTTCTGGACCCTCAGGAAAGAGTAGTGAGGGCATTATGTTGGTGATGCCACAGTGTAAAACCACAAAGAGAAGAATCGACTCTTGGTTCCCTAAAGGAATGCATAAACTCTACAAAAGAACCACGCTGAGATTATATACAACATGGCTTACAGTATTCAAGTTGCCCTTTCAATTGAATAGAAGAATCTAATATTCATATTTCACCTTACAAAGTAGTTTCGTCACATAATTCAATTGTTGCACCCAACAACCCTGGAAGATATGTTATTACCGGTAACAAAATGCAGGCTCAGCTTGATTAAGAGGCGTGATAAAAGCCACACAGTGAGCAAGTGAAACCAATTCTTCAGTTCCAAGTCCAATCATGTTCTAACCACAGAAAAGAAGCCTGTGTGTTTCCATATCAGCATCTGTACATTTCCATTACAGTATTCATCTATTTCTATATGTTGTCCACTTGTTCATGAGCTCCTGAATGGCAGGAGTCCTGTCTCTTGTAATCTTTGTGATCAGTTCACTGAATAATATCATCTGTAGAAGATACCTTATCGGAAGAAACACTTAGTACTGCAACTTGCTGCTGGCTGTGACAGATCTTCTTCATCCTTTAATATTCATTATGACTCAGGACCAACTCCTTTGCAATGCATACTAAACCATAACAGTTTTATAAATAGATAAGAAAGACAACAGGATACATATAGACAGAAAGAATATGGTTACTGCAATTCATTCAAAAGGTTTAAGAATACTTGCTAACAAATTGCCAATAACATGCTTTTTATAGCATCTACTACCTCTTTTAACAAATAACCAATTTATTTCCCCTCCAATTTGTTCTCAGTGATACAAACTTTGAAGAATGGCAAACACCACTTGTGTTGGAAACCAACACTTCTATAATCTCTACAATAGTCATTAATAATATATTTATTCATACAAACACAATTTTTAAATATCCAAACTTATTTGAGTAATATATGGCATGGAAAAGGACAGTAATATATTCCTGTCTCTTTAAATGAGTCTTAGAAACTATAATCAGATTCTTCTACTCATTTGCTTAGATGCCTTTTCTAATCCTAAATCTCAAAGCATGAATAACAAAGCGTCATACCCAGAGAGAAATTAAGAGCCATGCTGCTGCAATGTTCTGCAATTCTTGGTTTTGTTTTGTTTTGTTTTGTTTTGGTTTGGTTTGGTTTGGTTTCCAAGAGGGATTAACATGAAGAAGAAGTCAAATGATGCTGCTGCTTTTACCTTCTTATTAAAGGACTGAAAGGACTGAGGACAGTAATTTCTTTCCAAGTCACTGGATATTATCTAACATGTTTGCCATTAGATTTAAAAGAGATAAACTACACACACATTCCAGTCCAGCACAACCTGCATTAGATGCTCAAACTCCCCCAGGGGTGTCCAACCTGCGTGCGGCTCAGGATGGCTATGAATGTGGCCCGACACAAAGTTGTAAATTTACTTAAAACATTATGGGATTTTTTTGTAATTACATGTTACAATGTATTTAATGTGTGGCCCAAGACAACTCTTCTTCTTCCAATGTGGCCCAGAGACACCAAAAGGCTGGACACCCCTGTGTGTAAACCTACTTTTGCACCACCCCATATTATCTATTGCCATTAAATGATTATA